TTATAGTGTGCTAATTGGACATTTCTTTGATCATTTCTTTCTATATCCCTATGAGGATCTATTCCAACACCTTTTGAAGTTGATTCTAGGTTTGACTACTCGCACTGTAATTAACTTCTCTTGAATTCATTTTTTCCTTCAAGATCCTCTGCCTGATTATGCCCCTTGTCCAAGAGTCTTCTTTTATCGTGAGTAGGTTTTCGAGACTACCAGTAAATCAGATATATGACTTGTATTCACCCTATTTAGTTTAAGGTGATGAAGGACGGGTATGTGAATTGTTCCACAATGATATGAGTATAACTGACGCTTCTATTGAAGTTCACATAGCCTTGCTTTCCCAAAAAGTGTTCTGATCCCGGCTGAAGTGGACTGCAGTTTCGACCTCGCCTAGGTCTTATCGACATCCCCAGTGGTAGTCGAGCCATGACAGTGCAGCGTGTAAGCCCGACACGTTAACCACTCCGTCACATTGCCACGAGTGCCCTTGGGTCACAGGGCAGATGTGAATTTGAAAGAGGGCCAGACATTTTCCATATCACATTATGTGTTGGGATTGTCGATGAAGCAAGCTTATATTTGCTATAGCAATCGACGAAATTACTTTTTCGTTAGTGAGTAGGTGTTCGAGACTACCAGTAAATCAGATATATGAGTTGAGCTTACACACTGCACTTTCATGGTTCGACTCGCGCTTTGGTTGTTGATAAGACCTATGCGAGGTCGGAACTGCAGTCCACCCTGGATGAGAACATCTTTTGTGAAAGCAAGGGTATGTGAAATTCAATGAAAACATCAGCTCTACTCATGCCATTGTAGGAAAAATCGACTACCTTAAACGAGGTAGGGTGAATACAATTCATAGTCTTCTTTAAGCTGCTCAGACAGTAAGCCAAATTCTTACTAACTCTTCTCTCTTTCAGTCTTGCATCCATTTGGTTTCTTTTAAAGCTCATGTCCACGGCTTCCGTGATATTCTATTTTATTGTATTTTCTCCATATGAGGCTAGTCTTTTCGTTCCCTCCAGTCAATAGTGTGACCGGTCAGAGCAATGGGTTCGGTTATTTTTAATCTTATTATTCGTTAATAAGTAGGTGTTCGAGATATTCATTATTATAGCAAATCTAACTTTGCTTCATCGGCACTCCCATTACAGAATGTGATATGTGAAAATGCCTGGTCTTGCTTGAAATTCACATCTGTCCTGTGACCCAAAGGTACTTGTGATAATATAGCGTATGGATTAATGTGTCGAAATTATACACTGTACCATCATGGTCGCTTTTGATAAGGTGTAGCTCTATGCTAACGATGCCGCCTCTCAATGAAGATGCCGACGAAACGTCTGGAAATATACCAAGTCAGTGATTCAATGCTTGAAATCACGAATACTATAGTAGATGATGAGGATTAGGTACGCTCTACAAGGTCTCCCTGTCACTCCGACCAAGTTTCGAAAACCAACCAACCAACACTATACATGGTTATAATTAAGGACCAAATAGAGAGCCTAAACGCTTGACTCAAAGGTTGCTTAAAACGTGTAAGTAGTGGAGAATTAGAGAAGTGGATAAAAACGCACTTCTTCAGAGAGAGGCTAGGCTACCAAATGCCAAGTGACTACGAATTGGTGTGAAGTAGCCAAGCAAATCAAATCTAGGTATAAAAAGTGAGTGCGATTGCACCGAAACACCCTTAGTTTCTTGGATTATTGTATTTTGTGCGATTTTTGTAGAGTGTGGTTTCTCGCTCCGACGACATGGCAGAAAAAAGCTTAGCATAGGTTCATCGGGGTGACAGGATGGTGAGCAGCGGACTTCTTTGCGCAATCATAAAATCTTCCTTCCGCAGATATCCTCGTCAGGTTTCCGATGAGGCCAATCCACTAATTAAGGAATCTTACGAATTAGTTAAGTTGTATTTCATTTTGAGTAGGTTTGCGAGAGTAACGGTAAATCAGATATATGAGTTATGTTCACCCTATTTCGTTTATAAAGGACGGGTGGGTGAATTGGCCCACAATGATAAGAGTAGAGCTGAAGTTTTCATTTAAATTCGCATAACCTTGCTTTCCCAAAAGTTGTTCTAATCCCGGCTGGAAGAATATTAGCCTAATGTATAAAGAGAAAATAAACATTATCCTCGGTTACGCCTTTTCAAGAACTTGCGGACCCTCATTCTAGGTTTTGTGCTCACTATGCGTGGGAGACCTGGCGATCCATCAAGAAAATATTATTTGAACACAAGACCGCTTACAAAGACCTATTGTGGGAGCAAGCAAGAAGTAACCAAATCTATAGGATGCCTCATTGAGATGGCATTTAGGTATCATAAGTGAGTATAATCGCAGTACCTATCCACTTTGGCTTAGTGTATTTGGTGCGTTTTTTGTAGGTAATGGTTTCTCGCTGTAGCGATATCTATTACATGGCAGATGAAAGCTCATAGAGTGGCAGGAGGGTGAGCTGAGGACCTCTAAGAGAATCCTTCTACGGTTTCCAATCAGGCCAACTCACAAATCCCTCCCAAACATATTTTTATTCGAAGCCAAAAATCGAATCATACTCTTAGATGGAGGTTACACTGGAATTATGGACGAAATAAAGCCTTGTTGGAGTACCTTTTTATTTCGTTTGAAGAGGCGATTGGAAGGGCTCCGTAAGTCGGCCTCACCGGAATCTATGGGGGGTTGCCTTGGAGCTATGATAATGGTTTTGCGCGAATATTTCCTCGGCACACCACCTTGTTAACCTGATGAATTCTTGCTCAACATTCGTCCGTCATTTGACAGATATTGTCAGAGCAGGACCACATGCTTTATGACAATTTACCGGATTGACGAACGGTAAGCAAGGATTCATCGGGATCGCGAGGCGGCGCGTCGAGGACCTATTTGCACAAATCTACAATCAAAGTTCCAAGGCAATCCTCCTACAGCTTCCGATGAGGCCAAGTTATGAATCCCTTCAACTCGTCTCTTCCAATTAAACGAAAGGTATTCCAACATCAATTTCTTAAGTGATGCTTCTAAAACGAGTTTTTCTACACATAATAAAGCCTTATTTTGAATTGAGCAGCCCTGGGTGACTAAGTGGACCTGATGATAAATGTATGCTCCATAAGTTCCTCAACTAATTGAACCCGATAGAGACACTAAAAGTGGCAGTGTCTTATAGGGTAATTAAAACAAAAACAGCCCAAAGGCCTTCGATTTCGTTCCTGCATTACCAGTTCTGGGATTATGGCCTTAAGCAGATTCCATTAGTTTTACAGGTTAATATTATTAAGAATAGAGACCCATAAGCACATACTTTCAACTTACATAGTGGCTAACATGTCAGTTCCATCAGAGACGCGAACAGATGTTCTCGCAAGTGCCACATCAATTACCCAGAAAACGATCATAAAGGCTCCGAACAGTGGAATAAGGCAATGCGCTACCATATGGCTGACTGCAAATATCGGTAACCGATCAGAAGAGGAAATAGCAGCTACTGTCGTAAAAACTCTCTGGTCCGCAGCAGGAGGTAGCAGCTGATGGCGAATGCGGCTGCGATACAGAGCCATCACAGTCAGAAGGAGGCCAGTAGCGAAGATGAGGCGGATTAAGGGTAAGTAAGCCGGCGTGTGGACCGATGAGCCATCAGAGGAAGTGCTCTGCCAAACAAAAGTAAAGTAGATTTTATAGAAAACGATCAAATAGTGACTTAACAGGGATTTTCTCCTCTTACTAAACAACATCATTTGAGAAGGCAAGTCGAAGGGATTCGTACATTGGCCAGACCAGATACAGCAGGAGGGTTGCTTTGGACTTTTGTCTGTTGAATTGTGCAAAGAAGACATCGGCTCACCGTCTTGCGACCCCGCTTACTCCATACTGAACTTTCGTCCGTTTTTTTACAGACATCGTCAGAGCCAGAAAACAAAAACACTAAACCGAGAAAGTGTAAACGAAGCACTCCATGATTTGGTTGTCCTACATGCATGTAATTGGGTCAAAGTAATGCAGGCGGGGGAGCGGATGTGGTCACAACTTTTGTGTATGTAAATAAACTAGATTATGATCCAGTAGTTCTGGGCCTTGGTACTGCTTCGTGGATGCTATATTGGTATGCAATCCTCCTTCCATAGGTCTTATCAAAGTCTCCCTCTTGCCCCGTAAGATCCGACTGCTATCTCATTGGTTCACGTATTTCATTCGACCCCTGCCACCCCATCTGTGCTACTCGAGGCCTTATTACCCCCATCCTGCGTCTGAGTGACTAATTCGAGGCTAAAGCCTCTGACTACTGCTTGCTTTGATTAGGTTCAATGTTGAACCACAACGTTTGTGGGTTGGCACGCCAGAGACTAGGACATAGGAAATAATAGACTTGGTATTAGGGATAGCAACAGGATAGACGCGGCGGAGAATGGAGCTTGTTGGCTGACAGGTCTGTTGTACCATAGACGTAGTCCTTGTAGCAAAGGCGTGAGAATGAGACCTACTCAGAGGCTTTAGCCTCGAATTAGTCACTGAGACGCAGGGGAGGGTTAATAACGCCTCGAGTAGCAAAGATGGGGTGGCAGGAGCCGAATGAAATACGTGAACCAGAAAGATAGCAGACGGATCTTACGGAGCAAGAGGGAAACTTTGATCAGACCTATGGAAGGAGGACTGCGAAACAATATGACAGACTCTGATCAACATTCCCAGCACAAGGGTGAAGGGGAGAGAGAACGACAGCGTTGAGTGTGGAGGGTTTTCAGGAAAACCGCTTAAAAGGGCACACCGCACTACATTTAAAAAAGCGAGAAAAAAACAAAACAACTGTGATAGTGAAGGCGTGATACGAGGATATAGGAGAGGTGAATAGCCCAGGACAGAAGGAGAGATACCACAACTGGTTAGCAGACATTTGGTCAAAAGGATCGGCTTCATTTGTCTCTATGACGAGTTGAAGTGTGGTGCTACAATGGACTCCGGACTAGGTGCGTTCCTCTAAGTCTTCTTACCAATATGACCAAGTTGCGAAAACAATGCGAAACAACTTGTATACAAAGAAGGAAGACTGCGATCACATAAAAGGCCACGCCATCTTGGTCTTCATAACTCTGATTAAAATGGAATTTGTTTTTGAACTTTAAATTATCAACGAACTCAGGTTGTTGCCTACTCACGCAAATACGGATCCACGAAGCTGTACCAAGACCCATAACTACTGGATCATATTATATTTTATTTACAAACACAAAAGTTGTGACCACATCCACTTCTTTGCCTGCATCACTTTGACCCACTTACATGCATGTAGGACAACCAAATCATGGAATGCCTCATTAAGATCGAAAACTTAGGTCTAAGAAGTAAGAAGGATCTCAGCTGACTACCTCTCTCAGTTTGATGTTTTGGGTGATTTTTTCGTCAATACTCGTTTCTGGCTCCGAAGATTTCCGTACCATAACGGACCAAAGTTCAACACAGATTCATCGGGGTCGTAGGGCCGTGAGCAGAGGTTTTCTTCGCACAGTTCAACAGACAAAAATCCAAGGCAACCCTCCTGCGGTATCCGGTGAGGCAGCAGGGTCGACTCCAACTCAGCGCAAACTAGCCGCGTTAGGTCTATTCATCGTCTCAGGTTGTCAACCTATCTCAAATAAGCTACCTCGTTTGTGTGATTCAAGGCTTCCTTTCTCAGCTATCCTGCTCTTCAGCTAACTTTCTCTTTCCCTAAAATACTAACTTCATCTAAATTGCAACAAACTAGCTTTCGAAACCTTTTGATCGCTATAGAAATTCAACACCACATT